TCGCTGCAATAAGGGAATGTACCCCTTAGAGTACATGGCTAGTCTATGTCGTTTTGCATTCCTTTGTATTTCTATATAAACCCTATGTATGCATGCTATAATCAATCTCAGTCATTTACATTCACCTTGACCTGAGTTCAATACTACCGCTGCGACACTACCTGCGATCAACCCTGAACGATCCTTTCGCTAAGTCACACTTCAGATTGTAACCGCTCATGCCTTCGCTCATTGTACTCTTGCTTCGATAGTGCAATTCCCGCTCACTCACTCAAGTGCATTCGCAACACTTGGTATTCAGAGCCTACGATCTCTTCGTGGACCGCATCCACACCTTTGCTTCCCCACTATCTCAATTTTTGGTGGGGGGGGAGGGGGGGGTGGGGGGGGGGGTAGACGTCTCTCAGCGACACAGCACCGCCGCTCGTAGTGCTCTCTACAAAGCACGCACGGCCATGGCAGAGGCTCTCTCTGAGCTTGCCCGACACCCTCGCCATGGCAGAATTCACTCTCGCGACGCTGACGCAGGAGCAGCTCGACCGTCTGGTGCGCCAACTTGAGGATTCGTGACGCTCACGGTAGAACGCGACTCCGTCCGACAGCAGTCCACGATGAATGCTCCAGCACCACCACACGCACTTGCAAATGCACCTACACAATCGGAGGAGCCGATCATCATTTCATCAGGCACACCGACACAAAACGACAGCGTCGGACAGCGACCAGGCGCAACTAGTGATGGCACTGCTCATTCAATGCATGGCTTGGACAGGAACAGGCCGGCGCCCAGCCCGCGGGAGCCGCGCGAAGCCCGTCGGCACGTGGAATTTGCAGCAACAAGTGGCGACGACGCCATCATGGCACCAATGCCACTCAAGCCGCAGTGCCCGCCATGTTTTGACCCGGGCCGGTGTGGAGGCCCGATAGTTTAATCGTGGGACTTTACGATGAACGTTTTTTTCGACGCAAACTACGTTGAGTCAGATGCAGCGAAGATCCGATACGCCATCTCGCTGCTGAGGGGCCCCGCCATGGACTGGTGGCGAGTCATCGTGACGTCGCCACTTCGGAGAATAAGCGATTGTGGGAGAGCCTAGGCGCAGAGTTGCACGACCAAAGAGTGAAGTGCGAGGTTTGTGATACGGACTCGCTGGAAACTGGATACTGGTATTTGGAGAACAGTATGCTTGGTATGCAGCAACAGGCTTGGTATCCAGTAACAAAAGGCTTGGCAACAGGCTTGATTAACTGATAGATTACAATAGATACAACATGAACCTTATAGGAATCATAGTGACATGTGCGAGAACGTTCTACGAGAACGTTGTTCATGAAGAACGTTAACGGAGAACGTGCAAGCCCCTACTCTAGAGTGCGGTTCCAGGTTGGCACCGCCAGGTGAAAATGTCATCAGGTGAAATACCGTCAGGTACATTTTCTACCTGCCCAGGAGTAGTTGCGCAGGTGCTCGCAACAGACAGCTGCACATACTCGTTTGTGCAATGTCGTCACTTCCCTCCAATTCGGTTCAGTGTTGAACAGTGCATACCGAAGTGCACAGATTGGAGTGTACTCGGCGAATACCGAAGCTCCGGTATGCGGTATGCGAAACCTCGCTACATCGCATAGGGCTGCTACACGCGAAACCAGGCGCATACAGGGCTTCGCCTTAACACTCCCCTGCCCTGCTTGTGCCTGGGCAACTGAGGAGTTAGCACACCAAATAAAGTGAAAGGAAATAATAAAGTACAACAGGGTGACAATTCTGAAACTCGTCTGCGTGTTTTCCGCACACGCATATTCACCGCACTAGCCATGTTGAAGGACATGGCACCTAATCCTTCGCGTTCTCACGCGCGTCAGCTGCAAGATCGACTTGCCCAACGGTGACCGAGCAGCTCTTGACTTTTGGGGAAATAATCCACGGGTTGCTCGCTAGTCGAGATATACGTAAGCGCTTCGTTGAAGGTCATCGTCGCGAAATCCTATTGTCGTTCAGGATCAGCGTACATATCGGGATCCAGTTCTGGCAGCGTGGTATCCGCTTTAGCATCATCAAAAAGTGTGTTAGCGAACACCGGGCACACATCGGCCCATTTCACTGGAGGCACACCAAAATTGGAGCGGGTGGAGTGCCGTGTCGGCAGCTTGGCTTCCACCACATCGCTCGAAGAACTCTCTCCAGACGACTCTCCTGCAGCTTCACCGATTACCTCCACAACGTCGCTCAACGTGCTGTCACTGATCTGCTCCCCATTCACCTGCCCCCCTGTGACCTGCTCCCCTGACGGTTTCTGCATACCAGGCGTCGGCTTCTGCATCTCAGGCGCCGGTGTCTCCATACCAGGCGCCGGTGTCTCCCTACCAGGCGCCGGTTTTTGCATCCCTGTCACCTGCTAATCCCCTGCCGGTTTCTGCATACCAGGTGTCGGCTTCTTAGAAGATGCGGCAGGTCGACCGTCGACAATGCCGATGCGTGGCACCGAAGGTAACGCGTCAGGTCTCCCCTCATCGTGGTCGGCTGACTTGGACGGGGTGTCGGCGGTGGGACGAGAGAGGCTTTTCGCAGCTGGTAGCGGAGAAGTGACAACAACAGGCGAGGAGGTGGGGTAGGGGGCTTTGATCACTCCATCTTTGACGAGATGGATGCCTTAGAGGAAGCTGCTGGAGGGAAGGCACAGGATGAGGTGGACCGCTATTTAGCCAAGCCGAGGCAGAGAGGTGGTTGTCCGCTGGATTTCTGGCGGGCGAGGGAGGATTTCGAGGCTTTGAGGGAGATGGCGCGAGACTGTTTGGCTGTGCCCGCAACTTGTACTGCTAGCGAGCGAGCCTTTGGTCAGGGGAGGAACATTGTTACATGGCAGCGCCACCGCCTTACTGCTGGTTGCGTACGCGCCGTCATGACATTTAAGTCATGGATGGAGCAGAACACTAGCGGCAGGAGCCTCAATGTTGCCGGTGCTGCTCTTGTGCCGAGGAGCTTTGTTATGAGGGGTGAGGGTGATGGGTTCTGACTTGTGGCTGGTTGTGACCGTGGGCACGATGTTGCTGTGTTTTTTGGGGTGTAGGTGTGGCTGTTCTGACTGTAATGGGTGCCTTAAACCAAGTTGTTGGTGATTGAAGTTTAACTTATATAATGTTATGACATACATTATGATAGCATGTGACAGCGATAGGACAGTGCAACTCTAGTATAACTAGCTTTGTGTTAATGTATTCGTGCGAGAGCATGTGTTTGTAAAGAAAGATGTAACAATGCAATCAATTCACAATTACATGCCAGCTCTTATTATATAGACCCTAAAATGGCAACATAATTTCTCATAATGCATAGAGGATTAAAATGCTTAACAGGTATACCCGACCCGTCCTCGGATATACCCGACCCGACCACGGGTTGTTAATACCCGTGGGTTACAAGACGGGTCAGGTACCCAATCTGATCCATAAAACCCGAGGTCGGATATACTCGACCCGACCCGATTGCACCCTCGGGTACCTCCAAACGGGACAGGTCAGGTCGGGTCGGGTCGGGTCGGGTCAATGCCCAAGCCTAACATAGAAAGAAACAAAAATACTTGTTGTGGATGTTGAAAATAGTCTCATCTAGTAGTATAGCACGAAAAAGAGGCATCCAATGTAGTGGACCAATCATGATGCGTCGGGCAGTCTGGTCAATATGCGCACCTATCACGAGCATACCACGCAGAGTTCAGGCGCTCAGATCTTGGAAATCACATGGAATGGAACAAAAAGAAATTTTGTGGATGTGGAAAAACGTCTCATCTAATGGAATAGCAAGAAAAAAGAGGCATCCAATATAGTGGACCAATCAAAGTAATGTGTTGGCCAGACTGGTCAGTATGCGCACCTATAATGGGCGTACCAGGCAGAGTTTGGGCATTCAAATTTTGCAAACCACAAGGAATGAAACGAAAACACTTGTTGTGGATGTCAAATGTAGTCCCATCTAGCTGAATAGCAAGAAAAAGGAGGCATCTAATGCGATGGACCAATCAAATTGATGCATACCAAGCAGAGTAATCAGTATGCGTACCTATCATGGGCGTACCAGGCAGAGTTTGGGCGCTCAGATCTTGCAAACCACAAAGAATGAAACAAAAATACTTGCTGTGGATGTGGAAAGTAGACCATCTAGTGGTCTAGCAAGAAATAAGAGGCATCCAATGCAGTGGACCAATCAAAGTGATGCGTTGGGCTGTTTGGTAAGTATGCGCACCTATAATGGGCGTGCCAAGGAGAATTCAGGTGCTCAAATCTTGCAAAGCATATGGAATGTGTGGGAAAAAGCCGCATCTAGTTGTCTAGCAAAAAAAAGGGGCATCCGATGCAGTGGACTAATCATTGTGATACATTGGGCAGTCTGGCCAGTGCGCGCACTTATAATGGTCGTGCCACGGAGAGTTCATGCGCTCAAATCTTGCAAACCACATGGAATGAATCGAAACTATTTTGTTGCGGATGTGAAATATAGTCCCATATAATGGTCTAGCAGGAAAGAAGAGGCATTTATTGCAGTGGAACGATCAAAGTGATGCGTTGAGCAGTCTAGTCAAGAGCGCTCCGATAATGGGCGTGCCGGGGAGAGTTCAAGCGCTCAAATGTTGCAAACCATGTTGAATGAAACAAATTCACTTGTTGTGGATGTGAAAAATAGTCCCATCTAGTGGACTAGCAAGAAAAAAGAGGGCGGCCAATGCAGTGGAACAATCAAAGTGACGCACTGGGCAGTCTAGTCTGTGTGCGCACCTATAATGGGCATACCAGGCAGAGTTCAGGCACTCAAAATCTTTCAAACCACATGGAATGGAAAAAATACTTAATGTGGATGTGGAAAATAGTCGCGTCTAGTGGACCAGCAAGAAAAAAGGGCATCCAATGCAGTGGACCAATCAAAGTGACGTGTTGGGTAGGCGGGTTAGTACGCGCACCAATAATAAGTGCATGCGGAGTTCAGACGCTCAAATCATGCAAACGAC